GAGTTCAATGACATTCTCTAGAAAAAGCATTGAAGACCAAATAATCAGTGGAAGGACATACAATTATGATGCTCCACAGCGTCTTATCCCCTTACTTAACATGTTGACCCCATTTGCAAGATGCATGGTGTTGTACGAACTTAAAAAAATGCGTTTCGTTAACTTAGAATATGAAATCGGCAAGTGGTTGTTTATGGTTGACCGCGGACAACATTACGAAGTGGATGTAAGTATTTGTCAATGTAATTGTAGCACGTTTAATATGTGTCGATATCCGTGCCGCCATCTCCTGCTGGCATATGTTAAAAGACGAAATCTAACAGGTAAGTTATTTAAATTATAAAATATAAACTGCATAGCTCATCAACTTCTTAGGTGTTGCTGCAGATGGAAATTAGACAATACGCACAACTTACAAAACAACAGCAATTTCATTACCGAGACGGAGTAAAGAATATATACAACTTCAACGGCTCCAAAGAATGTGCAAACAACAAATTGTTGAGAAATATGGTGAACGCTTCACGAATCAGGTGGAGAGAAAAGTCTATAATTTTTACTTAAGAATTATAAACAGCAGGTTTACGATTAACAGTTCTTTGTGGCTTTATTTTTTACCACTATTTATGCAACTTGTAAACTTATCTTTCCACTTTAGTAGTCATGAAAAATCAATAAACTTTTTCTCACTTTTTATTTCCGTCTTCTTCATACTTTCATGGGGAGGTTTACCAATCGCTTTAACGAATAACTGTGTGTGAAAATTAAGAATTTGTACTACTGTATTAGTTACGAACTGTCGTTAGAATTTAGCAATATATCGTTGTTGATTGTGATGAATCAACGAGTCAAATAAAACAACAATGCGACTTCCACGTAAAACCTTACAGATTAGACAACCGCCTTACATATTTTCCGTTGTCAGATTACGTCCATTATCAAGTTAGTATTAGTATGGAACTAGACAATTTCATGCAGCTAGTTCCCTGATAAGATGGATTACGTAATCCTTAGACCACCCTTCCACTCACTTCTTTGCTAAATTATGTTAACTCCTCAGATTTTCTTCACTTATCTTATTAGTTCTTAATTCGCTAATTTATTCATTACATCTAGAATTATCACACAATTTATCTTATATGCTTCTGACCTTCACTCGACTATTACACCACCCATCCTTTATGTGCCCTTAAGTCTAACACCAAATGACCTTTGACCTGTTCAAGCATATACATATGTATAGTTATTATTGATAACCTAGGTCATTCCAATTCTTTGCTTTCGATTATCTTTCATACTATTTCTTCCCTCAATCTTAAATTATAATGCATATTCAGTTGTATGCAACTTGTGAGAAACCACGAAATGTAATGCAGTCACATGATTCTGCGTCAATATTTGTTTTGGCTTTATTTAGACCATAATTATACAAACTTACAGGATTTATAATGTAAAACACTGCGTATGGTTGTTATATTTATATTTAAATAATTCATTACATGAGTGAACATAGCAGTAGGCAATATAAAAGTTATCGTAAACTTGTAAACCGGTTTTCCACACGATCTTCCGTAATCCTAAATTCCATAAGCTTCATACTATTCTGAAAAACAACAAATCCGTTTTGAGACAAACAATTAAACTTTGTTCTTAGTATCATATTCAATAAGTTATTCAAATAGCAAGTAACAGACTGTGCCTATAAGTCTTTTATTTACAAGTAGTGACATTCATTCATAACTTCCTAAGAAACACAACAACTGTATTACGGAGACGGAGTGAAGAGTTTATAATAACTCATTTGTGAACCCTATAAGAGACACGTCACAAATCAGTATTAACTAAAAACCTTGGTTGTGTCACCATGCTCAAAAGAAACACCGATCGTTTTACTCATGAAGATTTTGTTCCTACTTGATGTGGTGTTATACACTATTACTGCAGACGTTCAGAAAGCCGCTGGACAACACTATAAACGTCAATTGTTACTCACATAATTTTTCTCAAATACGTTACATAATTATGTCACTTCAGTACAAAACAATGGTACCTCTAATGGATATAACTGTTTATGGCTAAATACAAACAAGTTATATAATATTCACAATCAGGTTAACGCTTGATTGGTTCTACTTACATTTTAAAAACTACTACCGACATCCATGGTCGCCGTCACCGCAATCAAGGAGGTGAACCATATGTAAAAGATTTTACGGTTCATTTTCATGAAAACTCAATCTGTGATGTATTTTTGACTAGAAACACGGTTAACTTTACTTGCTTGAGTTTGTATTGTTATAAATAACTATATTAAGCTAACTTCAGATTTACTTACGTAGTGAGCAAGAAATACGTCAAACTGCGAATACATTGGAATAAAAACTATGTTACAAGCACTAGCAATACAGAAATTGATGTGTCATGCAAAAAAGCCTGTTAATAGCTGGTAAATAACGACACAAAAAATCCACGACAATATGTAACGTGTGCGCGAAAATCCGTGGCTTACCCGCCAGTCCGTGCCTCCATTGACTGACACTTGTGTTCATATTGTGTCCTAAACTTTCTTAATCTGATTAAAATGGTTGATTGTACTTATAGATGTGGACAAACAAAATTGTTGTTCTCTGGGTACATATCAGGAAGTTAATCCGACTTGGTAAGTGGGTTGGAGGCGAGGCCCGATAGAGAGGAACCTTGAAGTTGGTACACGGGAATTTTGACGAAAGAGATATAGTATTGAATAGCACACACAAAACTCGTGATTCAGATATTCGTATCCAAACAGACTAGCTTGTTGAGGAACGAATCGAGTGGAAGAATGCTTTTAAGAGTTACGAACTCGAAAGCTAATTGGCGAAACGAACCTTACTATTAAGAACTTTCTAGTATTCGGGTCTTGGAAACCATTGCTTCCGCGACCTGTATGAGAAGACCAAACGATTCACAAAGCACCTTAAAAACGTGCTACAAAAACGCCCGTAGTCTTCGAAATAAAACGTCCTAGCTAAGTTTGATAGTGGATGAATTAAGTCCCGATATAATTGTCGTCATAGAAACTTGGCTCACTGTAAATATAGTCTGTTCTCCCACCATTGCAGGTTACATCTATATTAGAAGTGATAGAGTTTTAGGTTGCAGTGGAGGAGGCATAATATAATACGTTAGAGACCATTTCCGTATACAATCAGTCATGTCGGTGAAGCGTGTTAATGGTACATGTGAGGTAGCATGTTGCACAATTAAGTCCAGATACGGATTGATGACTATAGGAGGAATGCACCGTAGTCTGTGTTGTCTTGCTGACGACTTTATCTTGAGACACATCTACGCTTGGAGTAAGATAGGATGCTGTCTCAACGCACAGTATATCAACTGGATCGAGCTTACAGCTCCGCGTGAAGGTTTCGATAGCTATCTTCTATCAACCATTATTTAGTGTACGTTGTAATCTACTTCAAGTTTGGAGCACATGGTATACAATTTGTATCTGCTCCACCCCGTTCTAATATCCGGCGAGCTAATATTCCGGCAAACAGGGACTGTACTATGTCGACTGACTGGTGGGTCGACGTGAAAGGGTCGACCGAAGACGAATGGAATAGGTTTAAGGACACATTCGAGTCCGTAACACCACCTTTTATCCCATGGTTATAACGAAGGCTATTACATTGCCCACCATGGATTAATAAGGAAACCTGGAAGCTATTGAAGCGTAGGAAACACACCTGGGGCTTATTCTTGTCATCAGGACACGCACCACTTAAGTGCGAATATCGAAAAATCCGGAATATATGCAAAAAGACCATAGTTAATCCTGTACTACTTAGGAAAGACAGTTAGTATATCGTAGCCGTACTTGTTCGAAACTAGTGTTTACGTATATTAGACGGTGAACAAATTGTAGTTATGGTATTCCCCCATTACTGTTACACGGTAATTCAGATTTACTAGTTTGATCAGATCAGATATAAGCTGCGACTTCCTCCAACTGCTTTAACGAAGTCTAAACTACGTGTGTTTCTCAAAATACTAGTCACAATAATCCAATATACCAGGCATAGTATCTTTATATATGACTGAGGAAAACTCAAACCTTGTAAGATACCGGGACCGCTGTTGCTTAAGTCGTCGACATAATTTTTTGAGGATGATTTAAAACTCTTGAGAACAATGAGAAGTGAGGCCAACCATTCGGATCTCCAAGCTGACTCGGATGAATTAGTCAAATGAGCTAGAGGTTGGGGCTTGGAAGTTAATTCTAAGAGAGAGTTCATGCACATCGGACATGGTAATAGTTACCAGTAAACTTTTGATGATACATCTCTTCCACGCGTTCAAGAACATAAGGACTTAGAAGTAATGATCATAACTTGAAAACAACTACGCATTGCAACACAGATGCTGTCAATGGTTTTCGTGCATTATGGTCACTTCGTCGAGCATTCAAATGCTTTGACGAAGAAATATTTCGAATTTTATATACCACGATTGTAAGACCACACTTAGAGAACTGTATCCAAGCATCTAGCCCATGTCTAACAAGGGATACTAACTCGCTTGAGCGTGTAAAAGCAAAATTAGTAAATGGTCTTTCTAAACTCCCTTACGATGAGCCCCCAAACCTTTTCCCTTGTCGTACCGTAGGACGTGAGGTGACCTTATACTGACATTTAGTGTTTTTAATTATGATTTGAGTGTTAATATATTTCATCTGTTCGCTCTTTTCAGCACTAACAATCTATGAAGTCATAGTACGAACTTTCACAAACCGCGATCTAATAAACTTAAAATGATGTCCCGTTTTTCTCATTGAGTGGTCAGTGACTGGAATGCCTTACCCAAACAAGTGGTATCAGCCCCATCGATGAATAATTTCGAGAAGCTAGACCTTTTTTGAAAGCCAATCTATCAGGATTAACACGGATTCACCATTCTAATTACTGAGGACTGTATTAATGACCTACAGCTCAGAGACTCACAATTTCACGCGCGTTGTATGTTGTTTTGCGCTGCATCACTTATGTGTCATAAATACTGTACTGTAGTCGGGTTTAAGAGTTAACCCCACTAATGGATGTTGATATAAAATGAGTTATTTTTCAAAGATAACAAACCTGTACTTATTCCCCTTTTCAAATGACAAGTGTATCAGTACGTATAATCATATATGGTTGTATATACACAATCTAGATGGGGAGGTACTCCGTGAGATTTGTAGGATAGTTATGTGCATGAACACCTAGAATAGCTTCTACTTGTTAGTCATTGCTATTGTATCAAGTTTTCTTGCCAAGACACTTCACGGAAACGTTTTTTTGAAATTTCAAAGTAAGGTTTTCTTAAGCAAACTGAGTATATTAATTGTGTGCAGTTCACTTTGTTTAATGCTTCTGATCAGCAGTGTTTTAACTCTATGTTATACCATCCAATCCATTAAGAAGCACCGATATTCGTAATTCTATTTCGGGGAATAGATTTCAGTGAATGTGTTTCTTTTTGTTTTTATTATATTTGCGTGTACTTGTGACATGTTTTCGCTTAAAAACTCTCAGCCCTTACGGAACTTATCTCAATTGAATTTTTCATTCTCAAAAAGTTTGGTATTACCTGTTGTGTGAATAGTAGAACTAGCACTGTAATTGTAATAGAAGAAAATCCTGTGCAACAATATTGATTGTCATTCATTACGTCTTGGATTACTTGCTAAAAATGTGGTCACTAGTGTTTAACCTAACTTTCGCTGCCTTAAATTTGAACTTCAGTTGGAGCACTCATTGGTATCTGATATGTTCCTGATGTTATGTAATCCTTACATACATACATTCTTATGACCACTCAATAATCTTGAAATTCATCCTTCCAATAAATATCATCACTTGTGAGCCACTTTTACTTGGTTGAAACTACCCCATTAAAGCAGTAGATCTGAGAACATAATTTTGTTAATATGATTGAAAGAGTACCTCATATTCACTATTTGGTATACCGATTAGTGTTGGATGGATTTTGTTTCCACTGCTTGCCAGCTTTCTAGCAGCTGATAAGTTTCAAATCGTGCTTTTGTTTAATATTAACCACCGTGCTGTACAATTTGTTTTCGCTGGACGTATCTAACCTTCGCTAAAATGTTGGATTCTTTATCCGCTTGGTCCGTGAGTTCATAACGTTTTCATATTAAGCAAAACCAATAGAAAAATCAAGCTTAACTAAAATACGGCTAATCTGACTGACGTCTGAAAGTAAGTATAAGATTCAGAAGCTAGTATATCTGTTTATGTGATTATTGTTTGCACATTACTGACAGATTTCCATGTAATATACATTAGTTTTGATCATTTCGATTTCCTTTATACTTTTAGGTAAATGGAACTACCTGATGTATTTTATTCAAAATCGCAGTATATCGAAACTGCTAGTGGCAACAAAGTTAGTCGAAAATCTGTTCTATGTGGAAGTCAGAACATTGTATTAAATGGAAAAACCATCATTATGTCTGATTGTATCATAAGAGGTGATCTGGCCAATATACGTATTGGACGCCACTGTGTAATTGGCCGAAAGGCTGTTATTCGTCCACCGTTTAAGAAATTTAGTAAAGGTGTTGCTTTTTTCCCTCTTCATATAGGAGACAATGTTTTCATTGAAGAGGATTCTATTGTCAACGCAGCACAAATTGGATCTTATGTACACATTGGTAAAAATTGTGTGATTGGACGGCGTTGTGTACTAAAAGATGCTTGTTCATTAAGAGACAATACAGTACTCCCTCCAGAAACAGTTGTACCTCCATTTAGTATATATGGTGGCTCACCTGGCCGACTGATTGGGGAGCTACCCGAATGCACCCCAGATTTGATGGTTGATCTTACTCATGGATTTTACTATCACTTCGTACCTTCGAATGAACCTGAAACGGACTCTTGATTTTTGTTTTTGGTAGTGGGTGTCATATTTACCTGCGGTGGATCTGGGTATTTTTTAAAATTTTAACTGGTATATGGAAGAAATAAGGCTTTTTAAATAGCATTTTTGCCACCCACAAAATTTCCAATCAGTTTCTTTCAAAGTCATAAAGTGTTACTGTGTTTAAGTTCAGTGCTACGTAAATATAAGGCGTCGATCACAAAATCTCAGGAACATACTTATGATAAATATCACACTGAAGCTAATTAGTATCTCACATTAGTTATATTCAGGTTACATACAATAAAATGTTGTATATTGATATTTCAGTTTATTAGTTTTAAAGTAACCAATGATGTTCATCTAAAGTAGGAAGATAGAACAACCGTAGATTACAACAGAAATTATAAATGTCGTACTGCGAAGCCTAAATCCGATGAATAATTTTTTGTGGATCAAAAAGTCTCAGTATGTAGATACATTGTACTTTTTTAAATGCTATTGTAAAAATATATATGTCAACTATTCATATATTACTGAGATTGAGTCAGTCATTTACAAACAACAGCGCCTGCCATAAATGCACGATAACCAGTTACTTAAGCGGACTGGCACGACGAAATTGGATTGTTAAGACAAGTGGTCAAGGAATCTAAATAATAGTGGTTGCAATGATTGTAGGAAGAATTTGACACCGAGAATATGATTCCAAAATTAATTAAGACAAACTATGGAGCATCTGTGACGCTGCAACAGATTCTGAACCACGAAATCTAAAGAGCTATTTGTTAGTTTTTGCAGCATGTTACTCCGTTTTGACAAATGTATTTCCTAACATAACAAAATCAGTTGAGAGTTGAAATATGTAATGTAAAGAAATAAGTTACCAAGGAAAAGTAAGACACCTAATCTCTTCAAGGTACGAGTTTTGTAAGGCGTAGTGATACTGTTAAACTGTCCATGCGGAAGCAGATGACGCGGGGTTCGAATGGACAACGCAGTCATCGAATACTGAGCGCTCTAAATATAAGGTCTATGTTCCTCATTTGTAAGTCGTGTATTTTGAAAGGGTTATCAAACCAGCTGTGTGAAACTACATTAAGGTTAATCAATTCGACTAATACCTAGCTTGTCTGTAAAAAGATATTCAGTCACATCATCCCGCAAACAGGTATCGTATGAAATAGAATCTCACTATAGGATTCGGTTTGGGTTTGAATTTTTTGGTGATGGGTAAACGCTTAGTGCAATAAAAAAAGTACAAAATAAGGGAAGTGGATGTTGGAAAAGCATGAACTATAGTGAATTTGTATCGTAATTTTTTTTATCAAAAATGGAACTGCCAGTATGTGGTATCCGTTTATGCGCTGTTGCGTTGGCAATGCGAACTTGAACGTATCCATCTTACGTTATGAGCACTAATTTGCGCCTGTATATTGGTGTTTTAACAGCATGATTATGACTGGTATCCCTCGGTTAGGCTAGAAATGAAGGTTGTCAGAAAAAACTCAATAAGTCTGTGAAACGAAAAGGCGACTGGGGTCCGTTAAGATTTTGTGATTTCATAAGACGGCGAAAGGGAATTCAGTCACTGGTAAACTTAATATCTTCGAAGTTACACTCATCAACAACGATTTCAACCATATTCTTAAGTGATTAGCAACAAACATAGTGTGCAAGTTCAAAGAATATGAAGTTGCTTAATAGGTGTTTGTGAGCTTTCGTCTGGTCGTTAAATTAATCTAGGTTGGAACATTCAGTGCAAGAGTTCAATTTAATTCGAACCTGATCAATTAAATCGTAACAGAGATGGCAGTCATGTATTGATTACATAACAAGGAGTTCCGACTAATGGGAACTCTCCTAGGGTTACTGCCAGTTCAAAGCCAGAAGAAGGGAGTACCGTTCGACGTGGGATCACCAACACCATCCCGTAGAAAAAACTTCTAAAAACACTAATCAGAAAAATCATGTAAACTGCCCGGGGAATTGAGGGGTCTTCATTTAGAAGAATTATGACACATGATAGTGGGAGCCAAGATTCTTCGGTAGTCACGAGGTCGATGATCCTTCTAACAACCACGTACATGGATTGTTCAGACAATGTGGGCGACCACGAGGGCCAGTTAAGTAGCTACAGAAATAAGAAGAAGCAACTGGATGGTGTACGGAGTGTGCGGAACCTATTGGACCCAAGCTGGACATAAAAAATTGGCTTCAGTAGGTGTGTTGTTACACTTTGATCACCACAAATAAAATACTTTGTATACACAAAGTTATACTGATGTTGTCCAAATATAGACGGTATGCACCTGGAAATCCTGATAGGAGACTTAAACACCGACTATGAAGATGTCATGGGAAGACATGGACTTGGAAAACGAGAATGGTGAAAGATTTGCAAATTTATATGCATTCAACAAAACGACTATAGGATGTACTACATTATACCACAAACGCGTACACAGAGCTAAATGGGTCTCATCGGATCATACTACAATGGACCAGATCAATTATATTTGTATCAATAAAAAATCCAGAACGATGGAGAATGCGACGACAGAGAGAAGAGCTGACATACCTTCAGATCACCACCTGGTGGTTTTCAAAATGAAACTGAAGCTAAAGAAGCACTAGACTACTGTGGAGACAGCATCACAAAGGTCTAATACAAACTTTGTTCGAGATACAAACTCAGGAACAAGTTCTAAGCGTAACAAAACCTCAAAGAAGAGGAAACTACTATGAAGAACAACTGGAAAGGGATAAAAAAGAGCCAAACAACGTACCGGAAGAATCTGGGCAATAGGCACCACCGTCATAAGGAATGGATCTTTATCGAAACCCTAGGGAGGATACAGCAAACGAAAAATAAAAAGATAGGAATTAACAACAGTCAACTAAGAGCAGAGAAAGCCAGAGCACACTCAGAATACACAGAAGTAAACAAGAGAGTGGAGAGAAGCATTAGATACGATAGGAAGAAATACACAAAAGATCTAGCAATAGGAGCGGGAAGAGCTCCAAGAGAAGGAAATTTGCGACAACTATGTGATACAATTAGAAGACTGGCAGGGAAATGTAGTAAACTGGAGCGACAAGTCAAGAACGAAGAAGGCAAGACAATCACTGGTATTCAAGAACAGTAGAGAAGGTCATCAAAACACTCGAACAGACCAGCCTCACTGAACCCACCGGACATCGAAGTAGCTGATACAGACTTCCCTTTGATATCACTGCACGAACGATCAGAGATCAGCATGGCCATCAAACAAATCAAGAGTGGTAAAGCATCAGGATCGCACAACACACTAGCTAAATATACAGAGGTAACTGCAAACGTGCTTCACATCCTTTTTGGAATGGAGAACAAGTGACGACATACTGGAAAGAAGAAGGCCTCATCAATGCACCGAGAAAAGGAGATTTGAGCAAGTGTGAGAACTACACAGGCATCACACTAATGTTAGTGCTAGTACTAGTAAAAGCTTCCAACAGTGTTCTTGCAAGTTCTATTTAGATTTATTTCTTGTTCTACCCAATCGTATCTCAGCTTGACATAGTGGCCGAGCTCGCATACCTTGATGACCTACGCAAACGTTCGTATTTACAGGTCCTACCTTCCGAAGCACGTCGCTTGGAGAGCGGTAACGCTGAGAGCAGCGAACTCAAGGTCTGAGGGCGAAGTCGGACGTACAAGTTTGCAGCGCCAGTATGGCGTTTCTTTCAGACAATCAGTATCTGCAGCGATGACATCCCCAAAAACAGCCTGCAGATATTTGTCGCTAGCAATCAGTTCTGAAAAGCATGAGGCTAACAAGCAGAGTTTGAAAAAGCCATGTAAGAACGGCCTCAAGTAATCATCCCCTGGTTTTTGTGGTCACACCTCCAAGTCGTTAAACCCACCCGTTGCTCAACGTTTTTTCAGATCCCTTGAAAAGAAGTGATCGTACACGATGCGAAAAACCTTGGAATTAAAACCATCGACATACGTCTGACACCACTTGACTAAAATCCATTGTTCTGTAAGTACGTTTGATTACGAAAAGAAATCTGATTTTAAAGGAAGCGCAAAATGCGACCATGTGTAGTGGAGCCACAGAAGACAAACCCGAGTTAGTCGAAAACCTATTGCAAAACTCACGAACCGAGATGCTTAGAGCATTTTTGCATCGGATTATTTTTTCTGTGTTTAAAATACATCGTTCTACAGTCTTAAATTTATTTCTTCATCTTTCTCCATTTTATTTCCACAGGTTCACTTGCGTTACTGTATCCACTTACGTTTTCCAATGTCAAGTTTACTAACTTAAATTTTATCCAGTTAAATTTGTACATTATCACCCCAAACAAGTTTCAGACCATAAACGGGCTTTAAATGAAATAAATCTTATGCATATACACAGTTTGTGGTGCCTGTGACTTAGCCACTAAAGAAAGGATACTTCGTGTCTGTAATCTAGTTCTAGTTGTCTATTGATCTAACAGCTTGGTTATAACACTAAAACTGAGCTTTGTAGGCATGGCACACTTCAGCTTATTGTCAAACCGAATAAATAACACACTGGACTGTACTACCTACCTAAATTTCAAACAAGACAAATAAGCTAAAAAGCATACGGACTTTCGGTTTACTGTAATCTTACCCGTCCTGCGAATATCTGCATGTTTGGAAATTATGTCATCGCATTGGTCACGTTACTTGATCTTATATTGTTCTGTATGGGAAGTAGTACACCTAATTTAAATTCCATTCACTCCACTTCCTAATGGGAATTAAGTTGTCTAGTTTATCTACGGGCGTGTAACCATAGTCTATGTTAAAGACTCATCTGTTTTAGCGAACAATTAGAATATGGCTAAATTTGACGAAGAACATGATAGATTCATATTCAATGTTTGTATTCACTAGAAATGTCGTTCTAGTTGAGTTTATTAGTAGTCACAAAGGAACGCATTTCAGTGCGAATCGTTTGACAAGTCAGAAAATAAACCAAGTGAATTGTGATACTGAATTCTTT